GCCAGACTCACAAAGTACCTTGGTTGGCATGTGATGAGATGCAGTCAGTCTGGAAGGAGAGTGCCCTGGAGACTTACAAATAGTAAATAAAAACAAACAAGATATTCACATCAAGCTCACATCTGGGAGACTAGATGCTGCTTTGGTTTGGTATCACAAAAAAGCCTATCCAGTTATTAGAATAAGCTCTATCTAAATATTTTTTGGAGAAAATAATAAAAATATCTGCATGAGGAATCATTAGCTGATTCTAATCCCGTGCCACATGGAAATCACTAAGTTTGCCATTAATTTATTTTTTTCTGAAACCATGCTTTAAATAAATTTTTTAAATCAGTTGTTATGGTAACCTAAACATATATGTTGAAATTGCTCAAGCCAAGATCCATGTCCATCCATTTTTATAAGGCAAAGCTGCTGCTAAATTTTTAAAAAGAAAAAAAAACCTAAGGTCTTTTAAGTATTTAAAATTAACAACCGAGATTAAACAATAAACTAAAACAAATAAAGCTATCAAAGAGAGAAATACGTCTGTTAGCACTTGACGCATGTAAAAAAGGGGGTAAAAAAGTAGTAAAGGGAGCTTTTCCCACTGTACCCTGAATTTGTTACTTAGTGATCTGCATCTGAATTGACAGTCAAGTCATAACCAACAACAAAAGCTGTCATCAAAGAGAAACCACTGATATTAAATACACAGGCGGTGTTCCGTCAGAAAGTGAGTCTTGATATCTCTTGATTTAAAGAAAGTGTTAGGCTAGGAGCATCAAGTGGGTTAACTGAATTATCCACCCTCCAAATAGACAGCATTTTCCAGAAACTAAATCCAAACCCCCCCAGCTCCCTTTTTTATTCTCCCCTTCTCACTAAAGGAACATACATTTTTAGAGGATTTCCTTTTAATAAGATAATTCTTTGGACACAATAAATAAAACAAGGGTTTGGATGTAAACTTGCTCTGTGTGTAGATCTAGCTTTTGTAAAGACATCCAACACAGAACATCTGGCAGTTTTCTTTTTGTGGTACAGCTAAATGCTGAGTCAGACCTGCAGAGACATGTTCTAAGGTGATAGAGCCAACTTCCGCTTTATTGATCAACCCTATAGATTAGCTCAAGATTGTGTTGTAATCCCAAAACCCCTTTCCAGACACAAAAGCTCCTACTGCTTTTAAACAACATTTTTATATAGAAAAACATTTTCCTCACAAATCTGTATTTTAACTATAACTATAGACATAAAAAAAAAAAAAAAAACTATATGTAAGACATACAGCCTGGAATACAAAAAATGTACGAGGTTCGGTAAAATACACAAGTTAATCTGGATAAATTAGGATATTATTAAAAACATTTTTTTCTGTTATACTGTTTTCTCTACTTAATATTCCAGCAGTATGCTTGGATACAGCAAGCTGTTAAAAAAACTGCTTCTTCAGCAATTAAAGTGTGAATGACTGTCTACTGGACATCTGCTAAATCAACAGTTTTCTCTATTAATCTGTACGCCATTATGTGGCAATAATAATCCTGTATTAAAAATACGCTTTTATACTGCTTTTATGTAAGATTTGAATTTTCCGATAACCTTATTTTTTTAGGTTTCATCACCTGACTTCCACTTTTATAGTAATCAACAACATTCAGTGCGTAGTTATGTAACTCTTAGTGTAATTAATTTAGATAAAGTAATGAAAACTGTGACTTGTTCTTTAAATTGATTTATTGAAATCAAGTAACATTTCAATTACAGTATATTTTAATAATCTAAAAATACCCATTCAAATATATACAGAGATAAATATAGATTAAAATGAGGCACCTTTCAAAAGACTTGGACGTCTCTTAGATGGTTGTAAAACAGACTTCATCTTCAGACCGTCAGAGTTTGTTTTTGTCAATTTATTAGGTTTTATAGGATAAAGGAAAATAGAAAAATATTCAGACTTAGTAACAGCTTCCCTGTTTGGGACAATTTCTCCAAAAGTACTGTGGCAATTATTTTGAAAAAGACAGCTAGGTGTTCGTACCATAGCTAAAAAGTAACTTGCAGTTGTCATATGTTTTGCATTGTAAAGCGTGCCTAAAATCCTGTGGCTCATTGGCTGTGGCTATATTTCTTGTCTGCTGTCAGGTAGTTTAAACCTTAACACCTACTTTCAACAACTTTAAAAATACTAGTTTAAAATTCAAACTATGGTAGCTTGCTTATCAGAACACTTGGGATTCATCACATTTTTACTGCAGCTTTGATTTACAAAAATTAACAGAAAATTCCTAGAATGTCCAGGATGTTTAAGTGCTAAAGTAAATATGCAAAATGTAATCAACCATTGTACATTTATTTCTTTCATTTGATTGGATTGGATGTACTTTGCTGATCCCCAATAGGATAGTAATGCAGCAAGGCAAGGAGCATAAGGTATAAATAACAATAAGGGCTGGAACATATTCTTATTTATAGAAAGTATTAGAAATATAAATGCAGCGCTACTTGAGATTATTGATAAATGACAAGTAGCACAAAAAGTGCAGCAAATCTAAAGTTTGCACTGTGCAAGAAACACGAGTTAAATGAATAGTACACCCAAAACATGATTAGCCTTCAGTCTCTACTCACCCCCATGCTGAACAAAACTCTGGAGTACTTTTTTGATATCTCAAATGCATCTGGAGATCTGGGAGGCTTCTTGCTGTCTGCTGACATTCAAATAATGGAGGTCTATGGTGACCGAGACAGAAAGGTCCATAAAAGTCCACAAAAACGTGTCAATATTCCTCCATACTGCTCGTCCAATGTATTCCAAGTGTCCTGAGTGGGTAGCATCCAGAATTTACTCGAAACGAAGTCATTTAGAACGTTTTAGAGCCTAAACAGTAGTGTATAGGATTTCCTAATAGCGCCCCCATGCGCGCTCACGATTCTACGGAAGCCGGCAGACCAAACCGGAAGAAAGTGCGCATTCAGCGTCTGCTCTGCCGATAATGCAAGCGTAGAAGAAGAAATGTGCTGTTTACCTGTGCAAAGAAAGAAACAACGAAAGAAAAATGTCTGAGGACTTCAGTGTTGAGGAAGAGCATGAGTTCTTTGCCGAGCTGAATGCGCTGGTTTGGTCTGCCGGCTTCCGTAGAATCGTGAGCGCGCATGGGGGCGCTATTAGGAAATCCTATACACTACTGTTTAGGCTCTAAAACGTTCTAAATGACTTCGTTTCGAGTAAATTCTGGATACTACCCACTCAGGACACTTGGAATACATTGGACGAGCAGTATGGAGGAATATTGACACGTTTTTGTGGACTTTTATGGACCTTTCTTTCTCGGGCGCCATAGACCTCCATTATATGAATGTCAGCAGACAGCAAGAAGCCTCCCAGATCTCCAGATGCATTTGAGATATCAAAAAAGTACTCCAGAGTTTTGTTCAGCATGGGGGTGAGTAGAAAATGAAGGCTAATCATGTTTTGGGTGTACTATTCCTTTAAGACCACAGATAGAGGTTATTTCATGTTACATTTTTTAATGTCTTGATGAATTCACATTTATTTATTTCGCTATAATCATTTATTTAATGGTGTCCCCATCTAATCCTCCATAATCAAAAGGAGAGGGATTTATTAATTTTAACATAATATCATATTTGTATTTACAATAAAAACCAAAATGGTTAATGGTCATTTACCAATTTACCTTTTCTGTTAAAATACTTTTCACAGAACATGCAATAGAGTTCTATGATTTCTAGAATAGTTTTTAAATACATATTGTGAGAGTCTTTTGCACAAATCTGTTCTGGTATGCTTGAATTGCACACCTGCTATCTTCAAACGTATTTTATCTTGTTTGCAATTACATTATAGGATACTCAGCGACAAAACCTGACTTGGCCAAATAATTAAAAACAAGACCCAAAAAAACAGAGCAACAATGGCAGCATAATTGCAAGCTTGGAGAATGAAATGGAAAAAAAACGAAAAAAGGAATGCAATCTTATACCAACAAGCTCAAATTTTGGAGACACACATGATTCATTTCATTTATACATCCTTCTGTTATGTTATACTTAATTGTGAAGCCAATTATTGAACAAAATTAAACTATCCAAACCAGAATCTTTTATACTTTTGCTTTAAATGTTTGATTATTTAGTCTAACCACAGTGGCATTTAGTTGCATTTTTGATAAAAAGTTAATATTTTGTTGTTATTATAAAAACTCTGCCATATAGTTATAACTGTACTTTCTATAAAGCTCTTTTCTTGTTTTATTGTAAAGTTTTCTCTACTATAGACCTTGGTGAGGGACACATCTGTGTTTTAACGGCTCAGTGGTGCCTTAGGTTTCTGCCATTGACAGTCTATTAAAGTTTGGGACTCCTATAAGTTCGAAGTGAATTACTCTAAAACTGAATCAATTCCTTATTACACAGTTGATGTGTAAAAATGACACAATCTTCTCTTCCTTGAAGCTTCCATTAACATGACTCATTAATTCACTGCAGCTTTGCAGACAATTAAAATGGAACAAGTAAGGCTGATATTCAGTGTTACCCTCCTTCCTGGTATGCAGGATTTGACCATGTGTAAAATTTTCATGAGCTTGTTTCTTTTTATGAGCCTGCTTGTTATGAATAATAGCAGTGTCCAATTCACTTGAAGTTATGAAATCTGTATCCAGCTTTACGTGATGGTCATATTAAAACTATCATTACAGGAAATTTAACAAACATGCTGGCCTTGACTTGCTCAGCAGTTCACACTTTATAAATGAAAATGAGTTGCTGCTTTAAATCATGTGTCATCACATAGCTAGGATTAAATAGTTTTCAACCCTTTAACTATTAACAAAGTAGAAAATACCCCAAAACACAGCCTGGTCTAACCACGGCTCATTGCATGCTTTGTTTCTAATGACTTAAAGCAGATGTCACTCGTTCTGTATGCTGGCTATTTAGTAAAGTCTGTTTGCTTAATCTGTTTGTCTGGTGTTTCTCTCCTGCAGATGTACATCCAAACAACCACACTAACCATCTCTGTGAGCCTGAGTGCTTCTGTGTCCCTCGGGTTGCTCTACATGCCCAAGGTCTATGTGATTCTTTTACACCCAGAGCAGAATGTGCCAAAGCGCACTCGCAGCCTGAAGGCCGTGGTTACAGCTGCCACCATGTCCAACAAGTTCAACCCGAAGGCTGGACTCAGACCCAATGGAGAGGCTAAGACTGAACTGTGTGAAAGCCTGGAGACACAATGTAAGAACACAAATGCTAATTAGATAGACTTTCATGGAATTCATGCATGTTATTTTTCCAGAACTCTTCTATCTTTCTGTATGCAAATCCAAATAATTTATGCTGGTATACATCGGCGCAAAACTAATTCTTTAAAAAACCTGTTTAGTATTTTTTTAGACCTCAATGGATATAGTAAATGTGTCACTCTTACCGCTTTAATGCAAAGGCCAAGGGGGTACTGTGTTCAGACATATCTTTTGAGATTTAAGGTGCTTTTTACTATTGGTATACAGTAGATATCTCATATTCATCATTGTTGTTCCATTAACTCACGAACATCCCAGCCTATGACATTTAAAGGAGAAATAAGCACATTATTACCACTAAGTGCACTGTTGAGCACTGCTTATAGACCAGAAAAAAAAAATCAGTTTTAAAGCAAAATTCTGTTGAGCTAAACAACATGACAAAAGAGGTAATTTGCTTATACTAACTATTAACTAGAAAAACACTCGGAGAGAGCAGACCCCAGCCAAGTAGCTAACATTCCATAGACATATTGTGACTTCCACCATAAGTTAATATTTTTATATAATAATTAAGAAAATAGCTGGATCCAGATGGCGGTCTGGATCATCACCAAAATTGAATTTTTTCACAACCTTTTTAGTTAGTTTGAAAAAAACATACGCAAAGACGACTAAGAATATAACTTCCTTGGTGGAGGTAATAAGATAAATCGCTTCTGTGAAATTTAGTATGAATACACATTATGTTGCTTGTAAAACAACCAATTACTCTTTTTATTACATATTTCTATATTTATTTTCATATAAAATGTGAGATCTGTTTCTTTTCTCTCATTGTTTTGAGAAACAACGAAAGAGATAACACAAATGCCTGTTGGTGTAAAGGCAGCGTAACTACACTAAATACATGAAGCAGAGGCAACTAATATATCACGCTCCTTACTATAATAAAGAAATAAAAACTACAAGAACCAGTTATCCAATTTAACTTTAAATTATTTGTTAATCAGATAATTCCCTGAATGTACATAAGAAACATGGCGGGCAGCTCACAAACCCAGTTACACAATACTAACTGTATTAGGCTAGCTTGGTAGTGGCTACTATCCTTACATTAACAGTAATGCTGGGTCCATTGCTAGTCAAAACTCCAACAATTTAACCCACATGCCACAATTTGGGCATCACATTGAGTTGGATCAACATATTCTAACTGTTGCACCAACATGCTTTTACTCGTTAGCCCAAGAGGAGGAAATCTGTCTCTGAGTCAGGGCACAGATGCCTCTGCTCTAAAAGTGCTCCCCAGCTTGGAAATACGAGGCCAATGTTAATCATGTTTTGTGCCTTACCGTATCAACAAAATTCTTTGTCAAAGATTGTTGTTTTATTTCTATTGCAATAAAAAGTACTGATTGTCTTTAAAGAGGTCGTAGAACGAAAATGGCATATTTGCTGTTCTATGAGCCCTAATGCAAACCTGGTTAAGAGCCCCAGAATGAAACGACAGGTTTTCTTCCTTTTATGGTATTCTCATGAATATTTAGATGAGCTGTGCGCTGATTGGTTGGTTTACAACGAGCGAAGCTGTGGAGCAAACAAATCATAGCAACAAGCACTCACTCACTAAAACATCAAAATCTTGATATAGTAGGGTAACCAGATGTCCTCCTTGTGCCGGACATGTCCTACTTTTCATACCTAAAAACATGTCCGGGGGGAATTTCAAAATCGTCCGGGATTTTGGTCGACTACAGTGCAACCCTGTAAAATTCCTCTTATATTGTTGTTTTTTAGTTGAGGATTCAACCTATTTCACAGGATGCACAGCTTTGAGTGGTAACTAAAGCTGTGCATCCTAATATTGACTAATTATTACTATAAGACAGTTAAATCAATTTCAGTTAAATTTTTGTATTATTAGAGTTCAATGTGTATAAAGTAGATTAACATATATTCAGATTTTAATTCTATAACAAAGGTGTAATCATTAATTTCCATCTGGGATTATTAAAGTATGTCTGATTCTGATCAAATATATTTACTGTCTGCATAGATATGTAATTATGCTTTTCCGTTATATAAATGAAGAAGATCAGTTACTAATCTTAAAATAACCATAGGCACTAGTGCATGAAAACAGCATGTGTTGTGTGACAGCTTTATCAACACTGCACAAAATCTGGATGTCTCTGCTTGCAATTTTTTGTAGACCAAATGGCAGAAACTCAGAGTAGATACTAATTAATCTTATTTTTTGGAGGAACTAGTGAAATTTGTTTTGAGAAGCAGAATTACCTAGGGTGCATGGACAGGGGGAAGAGATTTAGGAAAGATCTCTAGGTTCAGGACTCAAACGGAGGACAGCTGTGTTAGGAGTGAAGCTTCTGTATGTGAATCCACTGCACCCCCTTCAACACACTTCAACACTGTTCTTCCATAAAACACATGAAGAAAAGCAATAAGGCACCTTTACTTGTGTTTTTGAGAGGGGGCACAACCTCTATTGCTTAAGGCTGTGTATCTTATGTGAGAAGTGAATTGATTATTGTCCCTTGGCCCTCTTAGACAAAATAAAGATAACATTTGGATTGGTTTCCGAAGGACTAAGGGCTGCTCTGGCTTTACAGCCTTTTTGTCTTCAGCTGAAGCTGCTGCTGGCTTCTCTCGTCCAGTATCATCTTCTTTCTAAATCAGACAAGGTTTATCTTGTATAGGCCTTGCTCTTTGACTGGAGGGAATGACCTTTTGAAGTCTCCACTGCTTGCAGTACAGATACTGTCACCAGGAAATAGGGTATTTCAGTACAGTAAAAAAAAAATAATGATAATTTGACATTTTTATTATGAGACAAATTAAAAAAGAGATAAATTGCCCTGTGGTAGAATGGCAACCTGTCCAGGGTGTACCCCCCCTCTCGCTCGTAGACAGCTGGAGATAGGCACCAGCACCGCTCATTACCCCGCCTGGGATAAGCATGGCAGAAAATGGATGGATGATGACTAAAAGTTTTAAAAAATCATCACATTCCGTCAATGCACATTAAAGTCTATTTATTTTTTCAAAGGTCTAGCTTCTATTGCCTGCTGTTGTTAAGATTCTATATTATATTTTTTTTGTCATCTAAAGACAATTCGAGATATACACTATATTGCCAAAAGTATTTGCTCACCCATCCAAATTATTGGAATCAGGTGTTCCAATCACTTCCATGGCCACAGGTGTATAAATTCAAGCACCTAGGCATGCAGACTGTTTTTACAAACATTTGTGAAAGAATGGGTCGCTCTCAGGAGCTCAGTGAATTCCAGCGTGGAACTGTGATAGGATGCCACCTGTGCAACAAATCCAGTCGTGAAATTTCCTCGCTCCTAAATATTCCACAGTCAACTGTCAGCTGTATTATAAGAAAATGGAAGTGTTTGGGAACGACAGCAACTCAGCCACGAAGTGGTAGGCCACGTAAACTGACGGAGCGGGGTCAGCGGATGCTGACGCGCATAGTGCGAAGAGGTCGCCAACTTTCTGCAGAGTCAATCACTACAGACCTCCAAACTTCATGTGGCCTTCAGATTAGCTCAAGAACAGTGCGCAGAGAGCTTCATGGAATGGGTTTCCATGGTCGAGCAGCTGCATCCAAGCCATACATCACCAAGTGCAATGCAAAGCGTCGGATGCGGTGGTGTAAAGCACGCCGCCACTGGACTCTAGAGCAGTGGAGACGCGTTCTCTGGAGTGACGAATCGCGCTTCTCCATCTGGCAATCTGATGGACGGGTCTGGGTTTGGCGGTTGCCAGGAGAACGGTACTTGTCTGACTGCATTGTGCCAAGTGTAAAGTTTGGTGGAGGGGGGATTATGGTGTGAGGTTGTTTTTCAGGAGCTGGGCTTGGCCCCTTAGTTCCAGTGAAAGGAACTCTGAATGCTTCAGCATACCAAGACATTTTGGACAATTCCATGCTCCCAACTTTGTGGGAACAGTTTGGAGCTGGCCCCTTCCTCTTCCAACATGACTGTGCACCAGTGCACAAAGCAAGGTCCATAAAGACATGGATGACAGAGTCTGGTGTGGATGAACTTGACTGGCCTGCACAGAGTCCTGACCTCAACCCGATAGAACACCTTTGGGATGAATTAGAGCGGAGACTGAGAGCCAGGCCTTCTCGTCCAACATCAGTGTGCGACCTCACAAATGCGCTTCTGGAAGAATGGTCAAAAATTCCCATAAACACACTCCTAAACCTTGTGGACAGCCTTCCCAGAAGAGTTGAAGCTGTTCTAGCTGCAAAGGGTGGACCGACGTCATATTGAACCCTATGGATTAGGAACGGGATGTCACTTAAGCTCATATGTGAGTCAAGGCAGGTGAGCAAATACTTTTGGCAATATAGTGTATTTATATATGATTAAATATTGCTTTTTACCCTACAGCTTAAGTTGAGTTCACAAATGAAACATTTTTGTGTTGATTTTGGAGTTCCCATTTACAATTGCAATCAGCAGTTTGAAGGATGTTTTGGGATTATTACATGCTTATAACTCATCATGGGGAGCGAAATAGGACAACTCCTTTTTGAGATGTATGTGGAGCTGCCAAACTAATGTTAAGGATTACTTACTTTATTGCAATAGTGAAATGACAAAAAATGGAATGCTGGAATAAAATTTGAGAAAGGTTAAAAGCCTAAAAAACGTTCCTTTTGTATAATATAGCCCCTTTAGCATTCTTAAGTTGCATTCACACAGAACGAGAAACCCGTGAAAATTTTCAGTTTTGCCTGCATTTTCTCACAATGTAATTCGACTGACTAGCAAAAGCATTTTTTACGGCGGCCAAATTCTCCCAGCGAGTAAAAGCATTTGCAGTGCTTTTTTTTTTTTTTTTTTTACAAAGCTGTAGTCAATCCTTGGTTCTCGAAAAATAAAAGTTAGCAGAAGTTCAGATTTTCACACTGTTGCAAATTGCTTCATTCGTGGCTGCAGCGATCAA